CTGGTTCTGTGGATGCTTTTTATTCCTTCAGAGTATATAATTAGTTTCGATAAAACCATTCAGAATACCAAAGGTGCAGAGAGGAAAGCTGGAGGTTTTTCTTTGGAGGAAGGTATTCTATTTTTGTAATGGATCCGTTTGTAAACAGTCACCTAGCTGACCTCTGGAGTCATCCAAGGCACTAATTTTATTGAAAATATAATTCTGTGGTGATCTAGCATATAGTATTTCTAGTCTGATTTAAATACGGTACGTTTGACATGCAGGATACTAACTGATCCACTGTGTTGTTCGTTTACAGTTATTTATACGTTGTTCTACTCTCATAGTTTCTTGGTAGGGAAGAGTAAGATCTTTTTGTTCAGCACCTTAGCGTAGTTGTATGTGATGTATTCAAATGTGTACCAGTGCTAGTTCAGAAAACAAACAGAAAAATGACACAGCAAGCATAGCTGTAGCAGGTGTTGTACAAACTTTAAAGCTATCTCTGTCAAATTCTTTCAGTGAGAACAGAACCTTTATGAGTCACTATGGCCCTGCTCTCAGAGCAAATTTCCACGTGGGCCTAATTACAACAGGACTTTTGCTTTTCTGATGCGAGTAAATCACTGTGTTCTAACAGGCTGAGCCCCTTCACCCTCAACTTCATTTCATTTTTCCTTTTAAAACTCTGGTCTTCTGAGATGAAAACCCAATCCATTAACCCAATGAGCCAGCCAGAATGTCTGCCTGTTTTTAAACTTTGAAAAATCGTTTATTTTCAGAAGCCCAACGTTAGTGAAAAACATACCCACCAGCTTAGGCTATGGAGCAGCTCTTAATGCAAGCTTGCAGGTAAAAATACTGAATTATTCTTTCTTTGCACACACTAATTATGTTCTGATGTGTGACACATTTAATTTCCTATTATATTTTGGTATACAGTTACCTATGTTTATGTGGACCTGATGGTCATTCGAAATAGTTGGGTTTGTCATCCAAGTAAGTTGTATTACCTAGCACTGCAAGAAGTACTGGTTCTTATTCATGCTACTTTTGATGTGAAGAAGCAAGAAGGACACCCTGTGGCAAAATCTGGAACACTCAGTTTTGCTGCAAATGTTAGATTGATAGAAGCTTTTGCAAATGCATGTGGATATGCATTAATATTTATCCAAGCTGTCATAAATGATTTCACATCATAGTGTTGGGGAACATGGTGCTCATGGCAAAAACTTTAAAGTTTAATTATAATATATAATTTTTATGCAGAAGAGGCAAATGTCAGGACTTTTTTATTTTGAGTTAAGTTCTGGTCATTTTTTAAAGTATAGCAGCTGCCTGCATTATAAAGGAGCCATACATTGTGTGGAAGGGCATAAGGGTTAAGTGTAATTCAAAGTCAAAAAATGATGTAAAACTAGAAAGTGCTATGAATATCGGAACATAGTTAATAATGGAAAACAATGAAACCTATGTAAGAGAAATAGTAAACCAGAAATAGGGATGCTATTATGTTCAGAATGTGAAAATAATTGGAAAATGCACAAAATCCTTCTGACCACTTCTACAACTACCCCAAATGAGCTGCTTTGTGTGAGTGCATTCATATGTGTATGAACATTTAGAAGTGATTTGTATATGTATGGACTAATAATTTTATTTTTACTCTTCATTTTGCTAGGCTGCACTGGCAGAGAGTAGTTTACCATTGCTTAGTAACCCAGGATTGATAAATAACGCATCCAGTGGCTTACTGCAGGCAGTCCATGAAGATCTCAATGGTTCGCTGGATCACATTGACAGTAATGGAAATAGCAGTCCGGGCTGCTCTCCTCAGCCTCACATGTAAGTGCAGTTAGCATCCTTTCAAGAAAAAAAAAAAAAGCTTTAGTCTAAGACATAATATTACTCAAAAGTGCTTTGAAACATGGTAAGCGAAACATCTGGAACTATATGTTTGAAACTAAACATTTATATTAAAACAGTTAATAGATGAGTCTTCATTTACTTTGTAGTGAGATTGGTGTAAGCTTTTTTTTTTCCATCTTTTTCATTTCTTTAAACCTCTTCAACTTGCTTGCAAGCATTGAATGTAACAGGAGGCTGATCTCTGTGGTCATTTTCACAGCCTGGTTTGTAAAGTATAGTCAGAATGTTCATGTTGGAATTAGTTGTAATTTTAACTATGAGTCTCTAAACCATTTATGAACTGTAGTAGAGATATTGCCCATTTATATAAACCGTAAAATGCAAAGTTTAACTGTTGCCCACAGTTTACATAGAAGCCAGTAAAGTGTAACTTTTTGCCTGTCGTATAAATCAGTGTAATTACATATTCAAGTTTAATTACTGGTGCGTCTGTATTGGCAAGGTTTATATGTTATATTTTATGCAAGACTACGATTCCTATTAATATTTAGCAGCTAACTATATCATTAATTACTCTAAAATCTTTCCCCTACCATCTTTTTAATGGAGCTGAGAGAGTGGAAGTATTAAAAATTGATGTATTGTGGATTTCAGAAATGTGTCTGAAGCTTTAGAAATGCCTGGCCTTAATCAGTGGTGTCAAATGTGGCAGTTTCTTGTTTACTAAACAGTAAAACATGTATCTTGGAGGTATTGTTTCCCAGGTTATTTATATAATAATTAGCAGTGTGATATCTAAGTAGACTTAGATTTAAGTTTACTGTAGGATGATTTTTAATGTGTATGTACAATTATGGTCTTTTTTTTTCCTATGTTTAAAATAGCTAATCTGGTTTGCCTTTTTTCCTTTCCGTTTTCTCTTTCACATTTTTAATGTTCATTCTGATTTCTAGAGTGGGATATTTAGTGGTAACAGTAATTGAGACCAAACTCCCTTTTTACTTATTCTCTGGTGTGTGGAGAATCCATTTTGATCTGACCTTTTTTAGGGGAAATATTTTGCTGAGTTTTTCTTCATTTGTTTGGCATGTTAATATATCTGTGATCACATAGAAATGTTTATTGTCATGCATTTAATTGTTTTATTACACATTTATTCTACTTGCCTTTGAAAATAATACACTGTGAACATTCATGTATTTTATCAGGTTCCAAACCATTACTTTTTCAAAATGGAAAAATTTGTCTTTTGGAAGTGTCTTTAGATGTTTTAAATAATACAAAAGAAGTAATAAAACTTGAAGTAGAAAGAACATGAATATATGCTCTTGAGAGTAACACTACTCTAAAACAAGTAAAGTGAGCAATCAGACAAAAGTTTTTATATCCCATGCTTTATGCTATCAACCATGCAGTGGGTAGCTTGAGGCCTTTTACTTTTAGCAGTTCTCCTGAGTATGCTAATGCTCTCTTCCTGTATAAAATGCCAAGACAATAAAACTTTAAAGAGCAAACAAGAGTTAGATCATGTGTGTTAAAAACAGCTACTTTACCGAAAAGAATGACACTTGCTATTAAAGTTGTTTTGTAAGTGTTTGGCAGATCTGTTTACATATCCTGTGTACTGTCTGCCATTCCGCTGGATAAACTGAGATATCTGTGCATACGATTATGTAGATATGGCTACATTTATAGCTGTGTTTATAGCTAAAATACAGCATTTTGTAGCAATTCTTGCCCATAAAAAAGGCAAATAACTTGAGCTACACCCTAACTCAAGATTCAGCCTTCCTCTCTCATTTCTATGATGCGTCGTTTGTCAAAACTTGCAGTTTCAGGACTTGCCATGGTGACTCTTCTGAAACTTATGACTAGGTATTGCTCGATTCTTGATAGATTGAAGCAGCAGAATGTAAATGCACTGAGATGATACCACTGGAGAAAGAGGTTATGCTCATTCATCCCTTGAGCCAAATTTAGTGCAAGATTACTGGGCTTCTGTGAGACCATGAGCTGTCAACCAATGACTAGCCTAGATAGATACCTGCTCACTTGTCAAATTTTTGCCTTTTCCTTGCTGAGGGAGCCAAGTGTGTGAAAAAAGGAATGAATGCAGTCTGCAAGGAGAAGTCAAGGAAGGGAGAGGCGGAGGACCAAGGTAGAAAAGAGGCCTCTTCCTTGCCTCCGTGACCACATTGACTACGGCCCCTTGTTTTTTTTAAAGAGCATTACTTAAGAAAATGAGAGAAGAACATAGGGAAAGCATGACAGAAGTGAAAGTAGTAAGCAATATGGCAAACAATGAAGAGAAATTTTAAATTTTACATTACCTACACAGATTACATAATCCCAGGTTGTGGGGTTTTTAATGAAAAATAATTAATACACTAGGAAGAAAAAAATTACTGCCACAAGCATCCACTTACTTATAGCTTTCTGAAGGTTCACCCAGGAAGTCTGGGAGTTTCTCACCTAGAGAAGTGTTCTTTGGGGGGGGCGGGGGGGTCATAATTACAGCACTCACCTATAAAGTAGCTGGCTCTATTAATCTCCAAGTTGTTTAAACCTCCGTCTCCTGATGCTCAGGAAAGCATACTAGCCATGACACTAGGAATATGCTGAGCAATTACGTTGTCTGCCATCTTGAAGCTGGCACACAGCTGGGAGCAATGGAGATGGGAAGGGGCAGAGTTTGGATTCTAGACAAGCTTCCAGGGAGAGACATTTGTTTGGTGTTAGAGCAACAGCAGGAAATGTGAAAAGAGTCCCAGCGACAGTGTCAAAGCCAAGCATGTCAGTTAGGAATTAGGTTGTTAGAATTGTACTGAATAACATTTTATCAGATAAATACATGATAGCAGAGCAGAACTTTCTTATTTTGTTAGGTTCATATTAATTTTTTGAGCATAAATTTATCTTTTTATAAACATAATGAAAATTGTGCAGGTATGTACAGTGATCAGTATTTCTGTGCTTTGAGCATGAGAACATTGTCAGAGAAATTGATTTCTGTTATTGTAATACCTTAGCTACTCAGTGTCAGAAAGTGGGGAAATTATTCCAGTCTTTGGATTTGAACCTGGTACTTCACATCTGGTTTTCGAAACAGAGTAGTAAGAGCAGTTAGAGTCATCAACTTATCCATCTGTGGACAGGTATCTAACATAGGTGAGTAAATCAGCTTGCTTTGAAAACAGTTTCTGTCCATTGACTAGAGAAAGACCGTAGGTATATAACTTCAAGTAAACCTGTAACATTTAAATGCTTGTTAAGTGTAATGAGTCCCAGCCAGTGGCACTTTAAAAGCTTTACAGTTTTTGCCTTGAGTAGTGATATATAATCTGCTCCATTTCTTACACTTCTTGAACACTTAAAAATATTGCAGTAAGTTTTGGGTGATCAGTATAACCGTGGCCTGGTAGTTGGGATATCACCTGTTTCCATTCCGAGTCTGATGAAAGATGGTAATTCTGTGATCTGGTATGCAGCATATCACTAGTGGGATCTCAAATCCTAGGTTTACTTTCTGTGTTTTATCAGTATTAAATCCAAGTTCTGTCTTTTCATTTGTCTTCAAATCCAATTTCTGGTAGGTTGACGCGGGCACTAAGTGCTCCCTTAACGTAAATCTTCACTGAGAAAATATGTTACTTATTGAGGGCATATATATTCTGTTCAAAATTCCAATTTCCTTTAACATCAGTTGTCAACAATCAATGTCAGGCAATTACCTTTTCATTTAAATTAATACTTAAGACTTTGTTTCTTCCATCATTTTTTTGAACTTGGGCTAGTTCTCCAAAATTACTGTGGGTTTTAGCTGATAAGCAACAAGTTTCAAAGTGACAAACACAACAGAAGGTATTTTATATACAAAAATTCATTATTTATATAGAACTAAGTGTTGCTAATCTTGCACAGTAATTGCACATGGATTTAGGTAGAAGCTCCACAGTACGCATCTTTAGAGTATAAATGCAGACTTCTGAAGTGAAAAAAGAAACCTCAAGCATCCGAACAAGTGCAATTAAAGCTGCATGCTTGTGGCAAACTTTGGAAAAACTTTTATCATCCCTGAAGAAATGACAACATTGGATGAGACATGGAATGATACTTAAGGACAATAATGACAGTTCATGCATTAGTGATAACACAACTTCTTTTTAATCTGCATGTCATAGCTAGTATACTGCTGAAGAGTTTCGGAAGAATTTGAAAGTCAGTTCCTTCAGAGCCAATAAAATCAACTTTGTGCTATTATTTTTCCTGCCTGTTACATGTTCAAGAGTTCTGGCTCTTGGGGATGGAATATCAGGGATGGAAATCAAGTTCCACTGTTTTTCTGGTGTTTGTCTGTGCATTTGTACTAGATTGATCACGCTTAAGTGATTATTGCAACTGGCACAGACCCTGGTGTTTTATCACCAGAACACTTAGTGCAACTCTCGTCTGTGTGTTCCTATTTTGGCATGTGCATCATGCAAAATGCCATTTTACTTCATTGTATAAACTTGGGGGGAAAAGGTAAAATTTTAATCTGCAAAACTGTTCATAGCAGTTGAGGAACCAAAAAGAAATCGGTCATCATAAAACTCGGAAAATTGTCGACTGAGAAAATATAGTCTCACTGTAGGAAACAATGGGGTGGTTATGCCATTCTGTTAAAACTCACTGAAGCTCATTAAATAAAGAGTGGGAGGAGTTAGCAAAGGAGATAGGAAAAAGCAAATATCCTACCGGTGAGGTTTTGTGGTAGGGGGCTGTCGTCATGGTTTTCTCCCTGCTCATGCTATGTGAGAGCACAGACTGAGGACAATGTAACATCTCTTACAGTCTCAATTGATTTATGAAGATAATCTAGTTCCTAACAGCAAATCCAGAATCCTGGAGATAATGGAAGTCATACTAATGTCTAGATTTTTAAGTGTTGATTGCTTTTGAAAAGTACAGTGAAAAAAAAATCTTTTTTGTAAGAGTCAGTTCTTTAAGAAAGTGAATTCATATATCCTTGTCTCATATATGACTCTTTGTGTTCAGCTATTGTAGTGCTGTACTCTGTTTATAAGGCAGGAATTGTTTGAAACCAAACGTCAAGACACATATATATCCCATGATCTTTAAAGCTGTTTCCAGAAAGTGTTGTCTTAGGTTGTTGTGAGAAAGAATAACTTTTGCCCAAATAAATAAATGTAAGAGTCAATCTGAGATGAATTAGAAAAATGAGCTTTCTCCAGTGTAGTCCTTCGTCTTCAATTCTTTCTGTGAAAAGGTGAGTTCTAACCATTTGTGGTTTCAGCCACCTTTTTCTTTGTATTCTGCTGTCGTTCCCAACCCTACTCCTTTACCTTTCCCACTCTTGCCCTGACTGGACCTTTTCTTTCTGCAGTTCTATCTGCATAATCATCAAACTTGTTATTTTTTTTTCAAACTTTTTTATCTTTAAATTTTATTCCCAGAGGCAAATATGATTATTCTGCTCTAAGATCATTTACTTTTGAGGTGCTTCAGTTTGAACGCATTCCATTGTCAGGTCGTTCCCATATCTGATTATTCCAGTCCCCCACTGTTAAGCTTTCACACCACTTACAGTAGGTTACCTATCATTCCAGTTTTAATCCCTTTCATTCCCTTGTTTCTTTAACTTCATAATGTTCCAATCCCCTGTCTTTCCTTCTTTCCTTTTTTTTTTTTGTGTGTGTGTTATCATTGCATTGTCCCATTTCATGATCTCTTCGCATTTACCTTGGAGGCTTGTTCTGTTCTTGGAGACTGCTATGATCGAAGTCTCTTGTTCTTTGTATAAGACTTGATGTAGTGTATAAGAAAATAAACTCTCGAACACATCAATTAACAAGGATGTAACAAGCATTATTAAATAGGTGAGAAGCATGTAATTGAGTGGATGAATGTGGTAGCAATTGCAGTATTTCTGGGTATCCTTGTTCATCAAAAATGTTTCACCTAATCACATGATATTTTAATGTCTGTATAATTTAATTTCACACATTTTTATTCATAAATCTAACTTAAGGAATATAATGGGCAAAGAGACTTCGTGACAACAATTGATTTTTATTTTCCTATGAAAAGAGGAACAGCTAGGAAACAGGATCTTAAAGGTTATAGCTTTTGTCTGAGCATATTGCCATTGAAAGAAGCTCTATTGTGAGAATACGCAGTGAAATAATTTTGGCTTTGCCTAGCACGGCAAAACATCTGAAAGTGAAGGCAAGTCCAGCAATCCAACACTTTATCATGGTATTTTCTTACCGTTTACATTTTTTTTTGCCTTTACTGATTGTATGGATCACGTGACATTAAACTCTCTTGAGTTGTGACTGTGCCTCCCTACTTTCGTACAGAGCCACTCACGTGTGGGCACTAATGGAAAAATGAGCAGTGATGTTTTGATTAATATTTTTCAACTATTCTCATTGACATAACTTTTCACTTGAATATTTTCCTAAATGTTTATGTTCTCCTATTTTATATTTTATTTTGCATTACTTTACTTTTCAGTTCATTTGTCCTCTATGTTTTGCTTTTCTTCATCCAATTTTCTTATCTTTCAAGACTGATGTTGCAGTCCTTTATCATTTCCTCTTTAGCTTCTTAAATGTTACATGTCTCACTTTGCATCAGAAGTTGCTATTTCTTCTTTACATTATTCCAGCCCCAATTGTTGCGCTTCTACAGTACATTCCCAATGCTCTTGACAAAAAGATCACTCCAGAGAGGTAGTGCCTTTAGCTGAAAAGTGTCAGATCCCCGTAGCACGGCTTGTAGAAGTTGGTAGGCTCCTGTGGGGTTTCACAGAATCTTTTTGGAAGCTGTCTTGCTGAAAACTTTGTGGTACTGCTGCCATGAATTCTCAATGTACGGGCAAGGTATTTATGCTTTGCACACAACAGATCTGTGTAAGAAAAGGCAGCATCTTAAATATTGTTGCAGATGTTAAAAATGCATTTCAAGTTGTGCAACTAAATCTCTCCGCAATGTGGTTATGTAACTCTTAAATTTAATTTGCAGGAATTCACTGTCTTTGTACAACACAAAAGCTGAGATGATAGTGCCATTTACAGTGTATTTCTAAAACTGTGTGTACAGTTACGAATTTTATCCACTTTTGATGATTGCTTTTGGATTTTGAGTAACTGTAATATTATAAGGCAAAAATTTTGAAAGTGGACTCTAGATATTTTTTGTACATAATCGTGTCCAAAATGTGCCTTTACATTTACGTGTCATGTAAACAGTTAAATAAAAACATACAATTATATCCAATCCGTAATGTTTATACCAGTAGTTTAAATTATGATCCATAAATTCAAGCAAAGATTCATTGAAAAATAT